TCTTCTTCTTCTTCTTCTTCTTCTTCTTCTTCTTCTTCTTCTTCTTCTTCTTCTTCTTCGTCTTCTTTTTCTTCTTCTTCTTCTTCTTCTCCTTCTTCTTCTTCTTCATACTTTTTCTTCTCTTTGTTCGAATGCAATGGTAATGCCAGGACGTTTTGTTATTACTTCTGCTTGGTGAATTTACTTCCGAACACAACCAGTGATTCTAAATTAAAAGTTATCGTTCAATAAAAACTGACTGGTCGCTCGATCATTTCTAGATCTATTCCAGAATGATATAGATTTCCCCACAAAACATAGTGGCCATGTATTACATGCCTGGAGCAAAATATCAGAAAAGATATGGCAATTGTCTTCAAGAAATATATCTTTACGATACCAAAACCTCGTAGAAGTTTTTTGTGAAGTGAAGTTGTATTTATTTATTTAAGTTTTTTTGTCTGCTTGTTTGTTTGCTTGTTATTTTGTTTTTGTTTCATTTTCTCACCATATCTAACCACGGCGGTTTCAACAATGATGGCCAATTCAGCTATCGTGTCATTGAATCGAGATAAAATTTGGTCATATGTGTTTAGTAGTTAATGGCCAAATAACGGTTTCAGTACATAACCATCATTTTTTTGGTTTAAGTCTAGATATGTCATCCAATCTTTATTTGTTGATGCTTCTGACATGCGCAATAGCGTCCTGCGGAGCCATTTGCAAAAAGATGGCGATTTTTGACAAATCAAAAGGTGAGAGTAAAATTTGAATTCATTTGGCTTACAACAAAAGTATTTCTTTTTGAAACTCAGTTTTCATTCTATAAAATTAACAGGTCGAGCACTGAGGGGTCAAGTGATATCAAGCCATGACGTCACTTCCCGTTTCGACTGTGCATTCAAATGTCTTGAAACTAGTGGTTGTAAGTCGTACAATTACCAAGAAACAGGTTCTCCACTCCACGTATGTGAGCTTAGCAACCACACAAAGACCTCCGCGTCATCTGACTACGTCATCAAACCAGGCTTTTCGTACTATGACGCTGAGCAGTTTGTAAGTACGATTTATTATTTATTATCATTAGAACTACTTTTGTAATAAGTTGCGATGTTTCATTTTCAGGTTTTACCTATGTGCGCTTCTTCTCCTTGTCAAAATGGCGGCACGTGTGGCATCGATGAATGTACAGATTCTTACGAGTGTCTGTGTAAACCTGGATACATTGGTCAATACTGTGAGACCTGGTTCGGTAAGTAGACTGCATTAGACAGACTCCTTCTTATTAATTAAGACCTTAAACTCAAACTGCATGATTACTCAGATTTAGTGAAGTTTTGGCTGGAAACGGACACGTCCGCGCGCACATGCCCTAAGTATTAGTTCCGCAAAAATCCACGAGAGATATATCAACTGCATAATTTTATTCCTCAACAGGTTTAAATGGTTCCTCGTCAAGTTACCCAGGTCATTCATGTCAGAACATCAAATGGACTGGACAAGACACTGGAGATGGTAGATACTGCATTAACCCAGGCAACACAGGAACCCCATTCACTGTGTACTGTGACATGACCACTGACGGAGGTAAGATATGTTGGGTTCATGCATACAAGTAGAGTCATTGGTTCAATCCAGTAATTATTGGGGATTTCTCCCGTTCTGTCCCCTTTTTCTCAGTGTCTACGGTTTATCATACAACCAAAAATGGGAAGGATGGTTGTGTTGCAATAAGGCTCTTGGATTGTTATATATATATATATATATATATATGAACACCAGCCTCTAAAGAATGTGAAGATATGATAGTAGACTGTCTGTTTTCATTCACACAATGTTTCCTTAAAATAATTTGTGATCAATGTTTTTAGGCGGCTGGACGCAGATCAAAAACTTGACGCTGAAGGGCCCACCCTCTTCTGGCTTTGCCGTTTATACCAACTATCGGCAGATATCTAATCTGAGTACATATGAATTCGTCTCACAACCTGCACTTCTGCAACTGAAACAAGAGATGGGGTTCAAACAGTTACGGTACTACTGTCGTAAGGCATCTGTTGGCAGAGTATTTCACATCATGACGGCCAAGAACGATTCGGGATACGACGTTGTGAGGTGTTTATCTGATGCTTTTTTGATAGCTTTTGAACCAGATTCTGTATTCTGTTACATAAACATGAAACTAAATATAATAGTTAAGGAAATATCTGGAAGGAAAATGGGAAGACAGTACGACCAATGTGAAGTACATGTAGATCTATTCTAATATTACCGCTATAATTGTGCCCTAATTATTAGTCCATGCGAAAAAAATAAGACATTTATGAAAATACTGGTTTTGTTACTTCGTTCTGTAGGTACATGATCGTGAATGCTTCTTCGCCTGCAACTGCTTGTAACTCATTCATTCGCCTTGCTGATGATCAATCGATGCTGGCCGCCAACTGTGCCAAGTGGGGTTTCCAAAACGAAGGGACCAATTACGATACGTGGGGACATTCGTCATTCACAGGTCCGTGGAGGCCGTACAAATATGTTGCATTCTGGTCAGGTACACATGTTAATTCATTTATTGACGGGGATGAAAAATGCGATGATAATGTGTCTGGTGGACAAGCTGGGGACACTTGGAAGATGTTTGTTCGTTAGGTTAAGAAAATCCGCCCGACGATAGATTCAACGTTACTTGTTTCACGAAGTTAAGGTGGAACCAAACTAGGCTAAACATTTAAAAAATCTTAAAATAAAATACACTGTTAGAATCTAGGATAATCCAAGCAAGTTATATGAAAAATACAGTTAAATTGATGCACTAGCTTTGCAAAGGGAGCAAGAATAAAATGTCCAAAATTTGCTCTGAATTAGTTTGGTTCCACCTTAAGCCAAAACCGTCAGAAGCATTGTTTCCTCCTTGAACTGAAATTTTAATACACTAAACAACCTGTAGTTGAACTATACTCACAGTTTACTGGTTGATTATTTCATAAATATTTTCTAGTATTTAAAAGCACCCACATAGAAAGACCACGCTGTTTACCATCACAAGAAAGGCGCTTGTATTGAGATGGTACAATTTTATTCTATTCACTTTCTTATTCTTTTTTATTAAATTTAAAACTCATCGTCTAGATAAGTTTGGGGTTAGGTACCATGGTGCGAGCTGTGCGCATCAATCAGACTACGCCCTACCACGGAGGTAACCATGGCGACCGGGCCACAGCTCACCACCTGGTACCTGTCACACTGACCACTCAGTGGAATAATACTCACCTGGCTCCCACCAATTGAGGAGTGGGCGGGCGGAATAAAAATTTCTTTGCTGCACGCTCACAGCCAAAGCTACCAAGACTGCTGGCAAAGCTGCCACTAGTCCTTAGCAAAAACGCGCCCCATCCCCCACCCCCACCGCATATTATTGGGGTGGGTAGCCGCTGGCCGCTACGACTCGGTTTTAACTTGCCTGAATTTCATTCATGCTCATTTAAAGTGCACCTAACCCCTGATACAATGACTTGAATATTTCAGTATCGATTCTACATATAAAGTGAATAGTTTGAAATAGCGTGTATCGTTCGAAAGAATTATGTCGATTAGGCTCTACACGGGCATAGTTTAAAGGCTAAACTTTATTTGCACAAACCAGTCCAATACCACGAAAAAACAGGCTAGGGAAAGGGCCCGGTGAAACCGATTTGACACCACGGTATACAAGTACGGCACACTACTTCAAGCACATGTAAAACATATACCGCGCAAAGGATCGCGGAACATTTATGCAGAAAACGTAGAATAGAAACATAGGAACGCGGGAACTCCGGAATACCCTTGTTGAGGATTAGCCTCGACATAGTTGAATGGTGAAAAATATTTCTTCTTTATACTTTCCTATCTTACCTCGCAAAGTTTGCTGACAAGAACTTTTACTGCACTTGGATCTCTATATCATATGCCCGCAAAGGACTAGTGGGCGGTGCCGTAAAGACTTCTGGGTACTATTGCGCAATTTCTACATTTTCCGACAAGGAAAATAAACAGCTACCCCAGTAAATAAAACATAATAACAAGGATGGTAAAAAGATAAGAAAATTAATTGGTGATTCTGACTGAGAACATTGGCATATTTGATCTTGTTGCGTCATTATGCAAAATCAAATTCACAAGTTAGTGTGCGTGACATGCATAACGCAAAACTGTTTATTTTGTAGCCTAAGGGCCGAACCTGCGGCAATTATTTTGATATTATGTAGTAAACACCTTAAGGGAGAAGATCGTCTTAGACGAATTAAACGAAATCATATTTTTTGTGTGAAACGTTCCATTATCTTTTGGCTAACATTGCAAACTTCTTCAGCTCTACTAGGCCTCTGTGCATGATACAAAGCTTTCAAATGTTTCAAATGTTTTTATTTTTCCACACACGAAAAAGCAAAGAATTACAAATAGAACTTAAGAAAGAAGCGGAAAGGTGCAGGAGGAACAACCCAAAAGGGGTTAACTAAGAAAGATCCTGCACCAACGTAAACAATTTTAAAGAAATAGTGAATGGCGGAATATTATACTTACAATAAAATAGTAAGGTAGAAATCAAGCATTTTTAAGGTGAAAACAGTTACGGTAAAGATTTACATTTACGAGTTAAATATAAGAACTTGTAGTTTACTGAGATATGAGGTATTTTTTGAAATTTGTACGGAAACTTTTAAGCGATAAACTATTTTTGATTTCCAGAGGAACATCGTTCCAGTTTGCAACGGCTGCGTATTTTACACCAAACTGGCCATAATTTAAGTTTTGGTGAGGCAAATATAAATTTCTTTTGGTTTTAGAGCGCGTGTTGTAATCATGAATTAAATTTCTATCTCTGAAATAGTTGACAAAAATATTAGGCAATTGATGATTAATGTGCCTATACGCAACCTCGCAACGCTGGAGCTTTACTATCTCGAAGATGTTTAAGATGTCCAATTTTTGAAATAAAGGTCTACTAGGAGTTCTGAAATCTGAGAAGGTGATTATTCTTAAGGCTCGTTTTCGTAAAATGTGAATAGGCAATAATCTTGATTTATAGTTACTTCTCCAAATTAATGAACCGTAGGATATATATGAATATATGAAGCTGTAATAAAGATTTTTCAATACATCAAGACTGAGGTAGTGTCGGAATTTATACAAAATGCCGATTGATTTGGCAATCTTTCTAGAAATAAAAGCAGTATGACAGTTCCATAATAAATTTTCATCTAAAAGCATACCTAAGAATTTTGTTTTGGAAGTTCTGTCAACTATTTTTCCTGGCGTTAGGAATAACTGCGCTTCGACACTATCAACCACGACATTCCTTAAACGCTGTTTTGACCCAAAAAGTATATATTTAGTTTTGGTTAAATTAACAGTGAGCTTATTCGCCTGTAACCATTGATTAAGAGAAGCAAGTTCTTTATTCAAAACTCCAAAAACTTTCTTGAGACATTTATGGGAGTATAGGAGATTCATATCATCAGCATACAGCAATAAATGGATAGCTTTTGATACGAATTGTACATCATTGATAAAAATGAGAAACAAAATAGGTCCAAGAATCGAACCTTGTGGTACCCCATAAGATTGCGGGAGAAGATTAGAGCTAACCCCCTCAATGCAAACATATTGCTTGCGGTTTTTAAGGTAGCTTTCAAACCATTTCAACGTATCCTGAATGAGTCCATAATACGAGAGTTTATCCAAAAGAATGTCGTGACTAACAGTATCAAAAGCTTTTGATAAATCAAGGAAAACACCCAAAGAAATATTGCCATTATCAATAGAGTCTATTATTCGATTGACAAAATCAAGAACTGCCAATGTTGTATTCCTCTTTTTTCTGAATCCAAACTGATAGCTATACAACAAGTGATTTTCTTCCGAATGATTAGTTAAACTTTCACACACATTTTTTTCAAACATTTTAGAGAAAATTGGGAGTAATGATATTGGCCTAAAATTCGAAACCAACTCATGGCTACCACTTTTGAACATAGGAATAACTTTGGCAATTTTCATTTCATCTGGGAATATACCTGTCAGAAATGAGGTATTAAAAAGAAAGGAAAGTGGTTGACATATATATTCAGCCACTATCTTTATATATTTCGCAGGGAGAGCATCGTGACCGACTGCTTTTGAGCAGTCAAGACCATAAAGCTGATCTAAAACATTATATTGCGAAATTGTTGGTAGATTCAGATTGTTTTAAAACTCATAAGAAAACAACTTAGGAGAACTATTTCTTCTTCAGTTCAACAGAAAGTCCTGCTTGAGACAAATCTAACTGTGGCTCTCTAAAATTATGCTGGAGGTTTTGCTGCCTTTTTAGGCCTTTACCTGACGTGTCTACCCCGGCCATCTCGTTCGATGCTTCGTTCAAAGTCAAAAACAGGAACAAACAGCATGACAATGAGCAGCGTGGGTCTCGTCTGATAGCCAAAAAGGTTTGTCCCAGAGTTATTAGGTAACGTGCTAAAAACAAAACAACAAGTTAGAAATGAAGTTCCCAATAATATTTTGTACACATCAGACAAGCATGAAAAGAAACTTGAAAACTTGTCTCGAAGGTATTTTATACTAGTAATATATATGAGGTAGAAGTGAAAGCTTTATCTTACTTCGGTAATTCCTTCAGCTGGTACATTTAATAGTTAAAACTATTCTTCCAGGATCAAATTTGCATGCTCCCCAGTTTCAAACGTCTTTCCACCATTGCTCAATTTTTAGGAACTTTAAAGCGTATGAGATCACTGGAGATAACCTTACTACGGATTCTTTTACTTTGCTGTCAGCGTATTTATATCAACTGACCCCGGGTGCTCCTTTAAACTATACTTGGTGGGGTACCTTTGGTAAATTAGCCTTTCCTCCCTGAACGCCTATCAAATCTACTTCCCTTTCTGCTCGAGAGACTTTTCTCTTCCATTTTGCAAAAAGCACCATCTTTACACATACCAGCCATTATAGCCACGACCGCTGCATTGGCTCCAATCAACAGAACCTTGATTACTGCGCCGTCCAAAGCTTCTCCAGTCGCAGATGAGCCTTCATTTTGTGTGACGAGTAATATTCCAACGATCATATTAACCAGCGTTGCCAAAAGAGAAGTCAACTGTAACCAGTGTTCAAACACATCTGTCATGGGCTTGAAATACGCAAAAGAGATGGAATATGAACCCGATATTATAGCAGTGATGCCAATGGTAAAACGACTGCCTGCGTCAAGCAGAAGAATGACTGACGTAAGGATGACTTTACGTATCAACTCAATGATCTCCCAAAACCACACTTGTTCTGCATAGTTCTCATACATAAACTTTAATCCAAGAGCTATACCCAGTGCTTCCTTTCTTCTTTTCGTTGGGTCGGTCTTCTTATAGTAGTGCTTCCAAAGAAGATACAAAACCAGCAATGGAAAACCTACTGGATATACCAAAAGAACTCGAGCTAAGATGCTGAACCAGAAGAACCTTTGGCTTTCACAGCGCACAGTGTAATCGGATTTCAGGTAATAGCTGCAACTGTTATCTTCTGTCGATGTACAGATTTTCTGACACGCTTCTGGAAGAACCATAAAAATGTGGCTGCTGGTCAGCGGGTATGAGATGAAAAGGATCAGGAAAATGGCGCGAAAACATTGCTGTTGAGCCGAACATTTGACATTTTCGTTCCCCTCGCCATTCCTTGACTTGCTTCTAGTTTTAATGTAGTAATATAGTAATCCCAAGAATACGACTGTGCTGTTAAATACAAGGATAAGCATCAACTTGACATGGATGTCTGTTTTCAGCGATCGAGTCAGACATTGTGGAGGAGCAATTTGTAGCAGATTCATCTGTAAAAGTTCGGCATATTTAATCGCTGAAATCATAACATCCGGCCATTTGATGAACGAAAAACCTGATATTGTTCCTGAAGTGACTTGGAAGAATCCAATGACAATCTTCAGCCGTGCTGTCATGGCGTCGGATAAGGATCTTTTGTTGGACTTGCTTTTCTTTTCTTTAATCATGAATATAAGAAGACCAGTTATTATGACAGTGATGAGAACAACCTGTGCTATAATCCATGGTAAGGACGGGCATTTACGACATGTCGATGCCAGCATGTAGAACCCCTTGCTACAGACAGCACAGAGGGGCCCTTCGTAGCCAAGAGAGCATTCAGAGTCTAGACCACCCTTGCATGCTTCGGCAACTGGACATGCATATGCTTTCGGGATACCCAACGAATAAGAAGTCATATTTTTATWGTAGGTTTTATTCCTAACTTGTAACTCTGCTGAGAAGTTAATGTAGCGGTATTTTGCATCTGTCGAGTTCCACTTCCAGTAGAAACCAGACAATAGACTGACTGACTCGTTAACGCAGTTGTATCCTTCGTCACATGGCATACACTTCTGAAAGCGATGAACGCGATAATGATCGTCCAGGCATGAACAAGCTCTGAACAAGGCGGGGAGATTACGATGTGTTCCTGAAAAGAAGTTTGTATCATCATCACCTTTATCTTCATTTATTATGAATCATTTGGAATCATGGAAATAAGTATATATAGAAAAGGTCGATTTTTAGGCATGGTATTCTATAAAGCAAAAAAATGTCTGAAAATGAAAGGTCAGTTGAAAAATTCATTGCTACTCAGTGTTATATAGGTTCTTCCAATCAAACTTTGTTTACCTTCTGGACAAGCTTGACATTCAGATCGATCCTTTCCTGGAGCTTGTTCCTCTGTAACGAATGATCCTGGTGGACACTGCTTACACCCTAATCCGTGAGACATAATCTTGAACTGAGCTTCTTCATCTTGATAGAAACCGCCTGAAAATGAACCAAATTAGCCTTTGAATAACCATTTAATCCATCATTTTCCTTGTACTTAGCATGTTCCTTTACTAGTTTGATTTATACCGCTGTGTTTTATGACTGCAGATTCATTTGTACAGGCTTAGCATCGCTTAAGAGCAAATCATTTGCAAAAGTCAACTGCAATTTACAGCCATTCTCAATCACACGCGCCCCCTAGCGATTGTTTTTGTTGCGACGAAGAAGGTTTTGGTGGAAGTCAATCACAAGGCGTTTCCATAACATTGTCGGAAAACACAAAGCTATAAGGGCATGTGAATACAGAATGTCATGGAAACGCCTTAATTGACGTTCACCAAAAACTTTTTCGTCGCGACAAAAATAATCGCTAGAGCGGCGCGTGTGATTGAGAATGGCTGTAAAGAGGGTGTAAGTTGAATAATACTTTTGTTTTGAAATCCCACGGACGTTTATGGACTGGAATCTGTGAATAGCTGGCATATAAATAAGGCTTAACCTATACAAATGAGTATGTGGTCTCTAAAAGCAGCTGTATGAATGAATGCTAAACAGGTGTATTTCTGTAGAAACGTACAAATTATGATAATTACCAGCTGGGCATTGTACGCATGCTCCATCTCTTGTTCCAACCTTATAGGATCCTGGTGGACAAGCTTCGCACCTTTCCAGGGAAGGGTAGTATTTGTATCCTTTTTCGTAGAATATTTTTTGAATGCCGTATCTACACTCAATGTAGGATGGATATCTTTGGGACTTGTAGCTGTTAGTATCAATAAATGCTGAACGGTAAGAAGGACAAGACGAAAAACAAGAGTGGAATATGATATTACATTTTGTATTGAATACTTTGAAATTTTTTATGCTACGTACTGTTTTTTACTCACACGAGTATCGATGTATACGTTAGTATTTTCGTAATTCCTAATTTTATCTGCTGCAGTTTGGTGTTTATCAAATTCCTGGTCAAAAATTTGAAATTGTTAACGGACGGACAGACAGACTGAGTTTATTTAAAAACGGTAATTACATTCAATTATAAAACAATTGGTTTTCAAGTAAGTCATTGAGAATGAAGAAAATTAGAAATATATACATATGAGAAAATTTGATATAAATATGTATGAATGAGAGGCATATCAGAAACGAAAACTGTCAATAGCAGACACAAGTTCCTTATAGCTTTTGTTTCTAATATCTTTCGGAATACTATTCCAAAGTACTGCTCCAGCATAGGCCAGTGATCTTTTTATATTTCAGTTTTAGGGTTTGGAGGCGCAAGGTTGATATCCTAGCATTTCAACTTATAATTATGAAATTCACTAGTTTTGGTAAAAAGATCCTGCAAACCTATCGGAGCATCACCCTTGATAATTTTGTACATAAGAACCGATTTTTGTCGCTGCCTTCTGGTTTCAAGGTCAGACCAGTGCAAGTAGTCTTGTAAGATTTGGGATGATCTGATCTCATAAGCAGCTCTGACAATAATGCGTGCGGCTCCATTTTGGAGTTTTTGAAGCTTCTCCTTGAGGTCCGCACCACAATTTCCCCAAAGGCAAAAACAATAGTCAAGGTGAGGCTGAATCAGTGCATTGTACAAATTCACTAGCATTTTCTGCGGGAGATACTCGCGTGCAGCACGAAGCATACCTAACACTTTCAGGACCTTAGGAATAATGACTTCAGTGATATGACCTTCCCAGCTCATTTTTTCAGACAGACAGACAGACACAGACAGGCAGACGGACAGACAGACAGACGGACAAACAGACAGAAAGACAGACAGACGGACAAACAGACAGACAGACAGACAGACAGACAGACATAATGAACAACGAATGTGAAAAAGCTTCAAGCTGTCCAGAACTTTGCTTGCAGAATAGTTACCAAGACAAGAAAGTTTGACCCCATTACCCCTGCCATGAAGGAACTGAGATAGCTTCCTGTTAAGGAGCACCTATTATACCGTGACACCATTCTGACTTTCAAATGCATGAATGAAATTCAAATTTTAAAAGTCGTTAAAAAAGTTTAAAAGCATTTTAAAGTATAAACTATTGGACAAACTCTATAAGTAGATTTACATTTTCATATAATTATATCTAGTGTTTCGTTCATTTTATATACATCATTTAATGTAATAGGTTTTGAAAAGCCCTTTGTATGGAAAACATGATAAAGTATGTATGTATGTAATGAATGAATGTACTTTATTCAAACTCGGAAAATATATTTCCATCAATTATACAATAGGACGTTTGCACGATGGCGTCATTGACCTCTACTACAAGACTCCTTTGCACGCTTTCTTTTGTTCAGTTAATTAGCACCAATTGTCTTACTATTCTCATGAGGGAATACAAATTTGAATAAGAAAGAAAATTCGCAAAGCATCTTGGTAGTGGGAGTCAAATGACGCCATCATGCAAACGTCCTATTGGCAAAACTCATGAAAACCGTGTTGGAAACAATAAAAAGTGTTATAAAGTTAAAAAAATGTAAATGCGTATTAGCATATCGAAACCTTTTTATTAATATAAAAATACATGATAACTTACAGCCAGTACGTTAGAGTCCAACAGACGAAATATTTCCTAGTCTTAATCTCTCTTATACTGCTAGATGATTTTATATTTAAAGTAACGAATTCCATACTCTGGCACCATCATAAGAGAAAGCTCTCCTAAGGTATTCAGTGTTTGGTTTTGGAGATTTTAAAACAGAACATTATGCTGACAGAATAATGACATTTATGTCGAAGCATTCCAACTAGATGAATCCGCATATCCCAGATCGACCAATAGGATGCATGAATACTGTTACGTAGCATTACTTATGGCGCGTCTAATTACAACGAGGCCTCTTTCCCATTACTCTCGCAGTCGAGCAAGTTCTCTTAAAATTATCCCACCTCCACCCCTGCGGCCTACCTGTTGGATTATCGTTTTTAGTTATTCTAGGTGTGGCGTGTTTATTCTCGCCCCACCTTTACCGAGGACATCGCTCCTTTGGGTTTTGTATATATAATCGATATGGGCAGCCCAGGACAGACACAACCTAATACAACCCCTAAGGTTTTGGCTGCTATTTTTTTGTTTTATTGCATGTGTTACTTGTTTACCGTCAAGATAAACATGTGGTTTAGAACTTATGTTTTGTAATTTGTCATCAGAACTGATAAGCATATATTCTGTCTTAGTTGAGTTAAGACTTAGCTTGCCGGTTTGCCTTCAACCAGTTTGATAGGACTCGCAACAACTGTTTTTACATTATCAGATTTCAGTGATGTACCACAGGTCGTGAGACTTGAAACAAACAAAGAAAGTGTACGAAAAATATATAGACAGACAGACAAGCAAACAACGGACAAGCCTAAGACGCAAAAACGCAAACAGACAGACCAGTGCAAGGGGCAGACAAAGAGACAAGCAAAGAAGCAGAAGAGCACCAAAGAAATTTTTGTATTGTATGGAGTCATAATTCTTACAACGTTAGCAACTCTCCATTTCTACTGAAGGCTCCTTCTTCGATCACTTCCAAAGGGTTTGAATTCAGGAATCTGAAAAAATTAGAATATGTGAAATAAATGTTCTACATTCTTTCTCGCGTTAGTGTGTCTGTTTAATGCTCAGGTTTAAAAACTAGGAAGGTATTACTGTATGACGTATGAACGTTAGAGCTTTTAAGTTGTGACGTATTTAAAATTTCTGGGTCCAACTACTCACAATAACCACTAAAATAGAGTGGAAAAAATTAGTATAGTACTTACAAATTCTTAATTGGAAGACCAAGTAATGTTATTTCTCCCAGTTGCTTTATCAAATTATCTGACAAAATACTTTGAAATGATATAATAATAATAATAATAATGATGATGATGATGATGATGATAATAATAATAATTGGTTTTAAGTGATTGTATTATTAGTCCTGTCATGCTGGTAGGTTACGAAATTACGCCCTATCTAGCTTACCTAATTAGCATTCAAACATGTTTACTGCTGATATAATAATAACAATAATAATAATAATGATGATGATGATGATGATGATAGTAATAATAATAATAACAAAATTTTTTTTATTGAAATAATAATGATATTTTATTTAAATAAACCTTAATAGTCTATGCATGTCTTAATAGAAATAGAAATACACTCGCTCCAAAGCTACTAAAGTTCCAATGCTTAATATTTTAAGATAATGATAAAAATAAATAAATAAATAAATAAATAATAATAATAATAATAATGACAACAATCATCATCATCGTCATCATCATCATCAATGCCATCATCATCACCAAGATCATGATCATCATTATTATCAACACCATCATCATCATCGCCATCACATGTGATATAATCATTCTATTCAATGCCAATATCATCAATGCCATCATCGCCATCGCCATCGCCATCGCCATCGCCATCGCCATCGCCATCGCCATCGCCATCGCCATCGCCATCGCCATCGCCA